TCGGCTGGACCATGGACCCTCGTGTTGGAAAACTAACCTGTTCGGCAACGTTCTTGAAGTTTGTTCGGTCTCGATATATGTTTTTGAGAGGTCGGTGCATGCCCTCGTTTGGCTTCGTGTTGTAGTTTCTTGTCACGCCCTTGGATACGATGTCATCAAATACATGACTATTAGTATGCATCTTTGGGAAGTTCCAGTTCTTCCCTGTGGGTTGAGATTCAGAAGCAGAATCGGAGCCGTTTGCTGCGTCAGCCGATTCGGGGTGAGAGTTTTCAGAATCCAAGTCTGAGTCTGAGTTGTCGACGGCGACATCGCTCGTCATTTTGATATACTCCTACAGAAGAGTTTATTTTAGAATTTGTCAATATATCCAATACCATACCATCATCAGTTCTGAGAAAGTTTTCAGTGCCGCACGACCAGCAGCAAGTGTTCCTTCAGTATGGACTTCCAATGCAGTATAATTATCAAGTTCGACGAAGCCCCGCATACACTTTAGCAGCTGGTAAGCGGTAGGGTGTTTTTGCCGATCAATGATAGGGTGCGCTGCAAAGAGCAAGAGCTATAATTGGTGATCACTCGTTAAGTAAACATTATCAGATCATTATAATTGGATCATATACCTTGGATATCTCCTCGTGCTTCGAACCATCAGTAAATGAGATACCCATCACCTGAGAAAAATGACTGAGGTTTCGCCATCGAGGGAACGCTTCGAAACTAAGAGGATGGCATCAGTAATAAATCACTCATAGTATTATTATGATAACATAACTTGTCGTCGACTGTGGTCAGTGCATTGCGGCCCATCTCACTGACTATCAATCCAAACTCCTTCCACAGGTGATCCCTCCACAATCCTCCGTGTGCATGTAAACGGTCCCATGAGATAGCACCATTGACGTTAGAGTGGAGCATCATCCAAAAGACATTCTGGGAATTTAAATAATACAAAATACAAGGGCAACGGCTTAGCACTAGAACATAGCACAAGTCGAAGTAATAAACTCACATCAACATCACGCAGCGAGTATTCTTTCAGTTTTGCTTCCTTCTCGGCCACAGTTCCCTCTGCTCTTGCAGTCGTAACAACGCTTTCTGATTGGCTAGCATGGCGTGATGCATAAACACCATATTGTGACAACTGATCCTTCGGAACGAGGCAAACCGGACAAGGGAACTTGCTTTTCAGACCACGGATGAGTGCCATAACGCATCTACACAATTCACAATGATGTGACCTAGTAAATGATACACCAACTTGACTTACTGCTCCTCATAGTCACCTGACAGTATTAGAATGATTGGGAAAAGGAGCCGTGATATTTTGTCAGCGCATTCAAACCAAAAACCAGTCTTTACATATTTGATGATAGATTCCAAGAGCACGTTGAATGCCTTGTGCCAGACAACGTTCTTGAAATTGACAAACGCAGGTTTGTGTTTGTCTTTTTGGCTTTCCTTCACCTGTCAAGGGAAATGAGTACAACGGCCAAATATTAATACGTGAGACTTCAAAGACAAACAATGGGAAGCCAACCAACAATGCGACCCCCGCCCCGTCCATTGCCATTTCGAATATTCACTGGCAGGTTGGCGAGCCGTGCAACAACTGGGTATGCTTTTGCAGTTCCAAATGTCGATAGCTTGGTCTTGTCCGAATACAAAATGAAAGCTAGTGGTTTCCCCCCTGGAGGAAGTTGAGACTTCAGAGTGGCGACGCCTGAATCAGAAGATATCAAGATAAGATGGTGTGGTCACTCGCTCACTTGGGCATTCCAAAATGCATCAGCAGTCCACGGCTCATCAATAAATCGTTCGAATTGGTGGCCATTATATTTGTAGAGCTGCTCTGCATCAAAGACAGCATGAGGTCCAACATGTGGATCGCTCAGCAAACCAGTTGCCCAGTCCCACAAGGGACGAAAGTGGACTTCAAAGCAACGTTCTTCCTTACGATACGGGACAGATATGATGGTTTGTTCAAACTACATATATAATAGTTACTCGACAGACATATATGCAAGTCACATTCAGCTTACTGGAGTGAAACGGTGAGAACTTTGACTCCATGTCTCACTGACTTCCTTGTAATTCATGAGCGAGAATAGTTCACTGCCACCTGCAGCACGATGTACAAGGCTAATCAGCCGGTTAGTCTCGTCCTTGTTCAAAGAGGCATGTAGAGCCAACTCCGCGATCTCAAAATCAAGGCGAGAGCGGAATGGCTTCCACGGTTCTTGGTCACAAACAGGGGAAGGCTTATTGGAAGCCTGATCTCGCTTATAGTCTGAGAATCGATGGACCTGCTGATCACGACCGCTACGAGGGTGATATTGTACCTTGATATCGTCCAGCTCGTAAGACACGTCACCTGGTGTTACACCTGAATTATGAAACTTGGAATATAAGTATTTTCACCTGCTCACCTGCTGGATCGTACGGAGCACTGTGATCAGGATCATCGGGCATTGTATCATCGTGATAGTACTCGGGTGCTGATGAAACAAACAGAATAAGTATGTCACAGTGGAGAAAGCTGATGAAGGCATACGATGGTGCTCGAACTGCGAACCACTGGCAACCTTAGACTGTTTTTCAACACGCTGATTTAGAATTTGTTCATGTTCTGCACGAATGAATTGGCTATTAGTTAGCAAGCGCAGTAATATATAATCTTACCTGCTTGCTTTCTGGCCTTCCGCAACTCTTTTGCCAGCTCCTTGTCCTCCCGGCGTTCCCTCGCTATCCTCTGGCAAGCTCGTTCGTGTGGTACAAGCCCTCGGCAGCTGAATTCAGCATTGCAGGTCGAGCAGCGGACTTTTCCAGCAGCTCTCGGCATTAAATAGAAAGAATACAGCAAATCGTATGTCCAACAGGTGTTATAGACAAAGGGGGATGCGAAGATGCGAGAATTCAACCCGTACGCATAGGCTGAAGCGGGTTGGAATCAGTTGGAATCAAATTGGAAGTCCGCCCATCAGTTGCAATGATTATTACAATGAAATAAAAATAGTCATTGTCACGTGATTGCCACTGGCGCTCATTGCAATGGCCAAAACAAATCTGCGACACACTCGGCCGATGTCGGAGTTTAAATAACGTTTCATATCAGGAATCTTTGAATTAGTCATCTACACAGACACGAACAATTCCCTCTTTGTCTCGAAACTATCATCCTCATTCACCATGGGAAACGATGGAGGCAGTATCCCAGACAGAAGGGATCTTGTAAAGACCAAACCCAAAGCCGAACAAGCCGACAAGGCCAACCAAGTGCGAGCCAGGTGGTTGTTCTGTGCACTTTCAAAGGTAAGTCCTGTCTCGTGATCAGAAAGCATATGCCAACCCCATGTCTTCTAGCGCTTGCTTCAGGAGCCGGTTGTCTCTTGTGGTCTTGGCAAACTGTACAACAAGGATGCAATAATAGAATATCTTTTGGACAAGTCGGCCTACGGGGATGGTGAAAATATATGTGGACATATCCGTTCTCTAAAGGTACGTCTCACCAGCTTGTTGCTACACTGCATATTGACCCTTTACACAGGATGTTAAAACCTTGAAACTTACAGCCCGATCCACTCCTGCCTCCCCTTCCGACGCATTAGGGGTTGTCCAGTTTGTCTGCCCTCTCAACGTCAAGGAGATGAATGGGACGCAGCCCTTTGTTTACATCCGCTCCTGCGGCTGTGTCTTCTCGCAGTCGGGTCTCCGGACAGTCCTTGGAACACCTCCGCCTACAAGGGAGACGTCCAGCAGCGAGGAGAGCAACGGCGCTCCTGCCAGCAAAGAGGAGCTTGAGGTCTGTCCTCAGTGTGCCACTAAATTCTCCCGATCTTCCGACATCTTGATCATCAATCCGTCCGAAGAAGAGGAAGAACGCATGTGGGTGGATATGGAACTTCGTCGTTCGCGCGAGCCTGCAAAGGTGAAAACGAAGAAGCGGAAAGCCGGTGTTGAAGGGATCGTCGAAGAGGCTCCCGTAGCACCTAAGAAGAAGAAAGGGTCGCCAGCAGGACATTCCTCTTCGCCTGCACCCGGTTTGAATCCTACTGCGTCAGCTGCATCACGAGCTCTTTCGAATACTCTCGCAGCTGAGGAAGTCAAGCGCAAGACTAACATGAGCGATGCTGTAAAGTCGTTATATCGAGGAAAGAACGATCCGCCCAGGAAAGAGACGTTCACGACTATGGGAACATTCACTAGAGTAAGTGTCTGTCGGTTTTATTGTTCCAGGAGTCTTGCTGACCCACTTGAAATCTAGTACGCATGACCTTTTCCCCCACTGCTGTCGAAGCGAGACCGAGTCTTCATGTTGTACTATTGGTTATTGTATGCACTTCACATAATTTATTTTGTAGCTGTCACCAGGTCAAGGCCGTCGTGCGTAATGTGTATCTCTTGGGAAGGCAACATCTGAAATACGCAAATAGGTAGGTATGCTCAGTGAGCCCACGCTGACCTGGTTCTCGATACTCTCGGTGTATTTGCGTTTCAAAGGTCCGAATGCTCCGAACCACGCGCCGGATTCGTTACGCTGTGGATTCAGATTGGAAGTTCCATACTTGGATAGCTGCTGGCATCAACCGTCGAATCTCGTGGCTGAAGCCGGGCGTCGCAGTGTAAATACCACCGCAATGACTATTCCGGCACTTCTTGAGGAGCCAAATATCGGATTGGTGACGCTTCCCGATCCTTTGAGTGAGGAGTGCTGTTCTGCATTACGCCAGTGTTGAAACCAGTTTCACTGCGCCTCCGATATGGCACAGACGAGATAGTGCGTGTACAACGTACGTCGACTCTCTTTTGATATCAAGAGGTATACTTGTGGAACGCCGACTGTATTGCGGCAAGTAGAAATCGAATATGGACCCCCTGCTTCCGGTAGACACAACAGATATCGATATCTGCAGTAAGTCACCATTGCGAGAAACCGACGAGACCTACTACCAACCACGTCCACTAGATAGATATACAACAGGCGCGGATCACACCTCGACGGCCGACTAGCTCAGTTGGTTAGAGCGTCGTGCTAATACTATAATTCAACGGCTGCTCTTGGCAACTTGGCGGCTGGTGGATTGCACTTACGCGAAGGTCTTGGGTTCGATCCCCACGTTGGCCAGTTTTTTTTTTGGTCTTGTGATTGTTTCTACTTCATGCTGGTTGCAGCGCACTCAAGTGCTCTCCGAGAAACCAAGCTTTTTCACGGGTGAACGAATTACAGGAAAGGTACTCTTTTATACGGGTCTTGGAGGAGGGATTCAGAAGTCATCACCTCGCAAAAAGCTGTAGCTACGGGAAGCCAGATCTTGATAGTCATAATGAGTTCACCAATGTGAGTCTCCATAACTAATTTCGCACAGACTTGGGTCCGCAGCACAACCCAGGGAACCTAGAAAAGACGAAAGGTCATGTTTCAAAGACGAGCCTTGACCCTTCCCTCGGTTCTTTCCTGTGCCCTTCGAGGGAGAGGAATTCCGTACATCCTGTCGTTCTCGGAAGTCCTTCGCCATCTCGTAGAATGTCGCCCACTGAACATGGTCGTGAGTGTTGACCCATTCGATGAAGCGCTCCTGAAAGATCGGTGGTCAAGTCTGGGAAATGGACTGAAGCAACGCCAGAAAACTTATGGCAGCTGCAAGAAATACGTACAAGCATCAACAGGACTTGTGGACGACTACATTGCCAATCAGAATAGTGTCGTGTTCAGTAAAAACAATTGAAAGGAGCGACAGTTGTGATCTTACCCGCTGACGTCTGGATGAATACTGATCGGAAATATGAAATCTTTTTCTTCTCTGTTTGCGTCGTGGTTAGCCAGAGGCCGAAAGAGACGGAAGGTTTCTGCAAAGTCACCTATAGAAGTATGTGAACATGTCCTTCCATAGTTGCTCGATGGTTTGCGGGGCTACCTAATTACGATTCAATCCTGGTGTCGTATTCCTCATCATAAATATGCACGTACCCAGCCATGCGAGTTAGGAAAAGCTTTTATGAACCTAGCACCGTCGTTCTTCAGCCAGGAGCGGAGTCCTGGGAGAGAGAGGGACGCACATCATGGGGGTCATATCTTCCAGGTACCTGTCGTGTCGCATTTGGTCACAGAATGTCATGGGTATGTGGAAAGAACGAACCAGTTTCCAGGTAATTCGACAATGGATGTTTCTTTTCCCTTCTTCAGCGGTTTCATCCACGTCTCCGCTTTTGCCTTGTAGTCGATATTCGTCCAGGTGTCTCCAGCACGGAGGCAGTAGGCTTGACAGCTGTCCAGGTCCCGGCATGGATCTGAGTGAAGCAGGTATGTAGACAGAATCGACTTACTCGTGAGACATGTCGAATGATCTATTTAGAAAGGAGAGAACGGCCAGTTCAACTCAGTATGCCCTCGAAGCTCTCTCACTACACGTACCGTATTCAATGCCCTTCTCTACCAACATTGCTATACCTTCTTTACTCGTTTGCCACCAAGGCGCCACATAACCTTTTGGGGGAATCCCATAATTGAACTCTGTCAGGAGCTTGTGGGTGTAATCGAGGACATCCCGCTGCTGCTCGAGCGTCATAGCAGACGGTTCCTATGGTCCCACTTAATCACTACGTAGATGATGATTTACCCGTCATGCCTACCTCGTGAGAGTACCCGTGGAGGCCCCTGCAAATGAATCCACTCGTTAGACACTAAGCATCGAAAGCAACACCAACTCAGCTGACAGCTCGTGCCCCGCATCTCGAACAGCAGCCATCTGTTCCGGGAACGTCTCCAGACTGTGTCCTATATAGGTGTCAGGATGTAGGCGTCAGGAAAGGTATTTAACAACAATATGGCTGTAGGGCCATGGCTCACCAGGTATGAACCACGTAGTTTTGATCCCGTATTTCTTGAAAAGCTTGAGTAAACGCGGTACGCCTACTTCTCCTGCGAACATTCCCTTTGTTTTTTCTCGTTTTAGCAGTGAACGAGGGTGAATGGGACTGATGCACGACGAACTCGGGATATATCCAGCGGGGAGTCTTCCCCTCCATATGAACCGAGCCTGTTCCAGTCACGGTCAAGATAGGTCGGCGACTTGGTTAAATAAATGGTGATACGTGCCAGCCAGCTACTGCATCGACGTCAACGCCAAATCCAACAAGGACCTTTCTGGGCATATTGGGAGGCTCGAATGAACAGAACTGCAATAGTCTTACGATTATCTCAGCTACCAGTGGGACGAGCAGCGGCTATGGTGCCTTGCCAGTGGAAGGGACTCGGTTTTCTTATCGAGGGCTGATGATATCCGAGTGGATCATGTGCATTACGAAGTGACGTGAAGAAGAAGCAAAGCCTGATCAGGATTATAGGTTCAGTGGACGTGAGAGAAGAAGACTGGCAGGCCTTCCTCCTTGTGTCAGTGGTAAAACCGCAGCTACCTATCGAATATCCAGTGCGGTAGACGTGGTGGATCAATAATGTACACATAATATACAAGCCTTGACCAGTCGACGTGCGGACGGGAGTTTAGGAGAGAAATCCCAGAGTATTAATTCACAAGAGCAGTTTGAGAGCAGTTGTGGATAGATCATATTGGCGCAATCCCTGTTATCTTTAGAAGGAGTAAATATAACCAATGAATGTTCTCGTCGTCGTACTCTAGACAAATCTATACAGTATAAAGTCATCCATGGGTCTGTGGCATCAATACGGTGGGAGGCCGGATGACAACAGAGAGATACATAGATACACACATAGACAGCATGGCGGGGTATAGAGAAGTTTCACACCAACCGGCATATGAAGTCAACAGCATCACTTAAGCGAGGGTAGCAAATCCAACGCGCGTATTGCCAACATCGAAGGCAGTGTAGACATTAGAGAGGAAAAGGGCGCCGACGATCCAGAAGGCTACAATTCCAATTGTCGTTACAACGCAAGTTTCCCGAGCAGAACACAAATCAAAGACTTACAAGCACCAACGTCCTGTCCGACGATGCCGCTAATGCAGTCGGTTGATGTAAGATAGACGGGTCCGAGGTTAAAGCTGTCGGTGGGGATAGGAAAGGACGTGCCACCGAAAGTGAAACACTGAATTGCATGGGACTATGGAGGTGTCGATAAGCAATAAGCAACGGAGGTGATGCAGCTGGGTGCATACAGGTGTAAAAGCCTTGGCCGACAGTGCTGGATGCGTCAGTACCACCAATGGCTTCGTAAAGAGTAGCCACATTAGTGCCACCAAGGTACAACTCGGACTCATTGGCTGCAAGCTTGAATCCGAATATGGGCTCGTCTGTCTGACCTTGATCGACGAGAGTCTGGAAGAAGGACTCGCATCGTGTTCAGCGATGGCTTGGAAAGCCATTCCCATCAAACCATCCGGAGGATACTGCGGGAATTCGAACTGAGAAGAGTACTGTGTCGCAACACCAATGGTTTGACTGGTGGCCCGCTCGAATGTCAGAAACGATTGTTGAAACGGGACGTCAACCTACAGGGAGTCCGGCAATCGAGACTGTCGCTGTACTGTTCGCCGGTAAGAGAGGAACCGTCTCCGTACTGAAGAACGAAGGCCTTTCCAAGGTCCTTGGAAGTCGCCGACACTGACGGATCGTAGACTATGTGGCCACTGCAGCTCGAATCACAGCTGGAGCCTGGCAAGAAAAGGTCACTGTGATCATGTCCAGTAAGAGGTGTGGATTCGCATGCGCAAAACGACAGATACATGCCCCGAGCCGGTGTTAAAGGCAACTGTTAGAGAAAGTCAGCTGCGCGTCCATTATAAAGCCAACTAAAACTAACCAGAGTAGCCGAATGCAGGAGTACCAACAAAAATCGAGTCGAGCCAGAGCTCGTTACCATCGTTCATTAAGGCAGCCCCAGCGGATGCGCGCTTCCTAGCGCCTGTCACAACAGACGGGTGCGAAGCCCTGGTGTTCTTCTGAAACTTAGCAAGGCCACGATGAACCTTCCTACTGTTCACGTCAATGTGACCGGAATTCACAGGTCAAGCAGACAGATACACACGCTACTGTTAAAGCCACATGAGATTTGAGTGCGTCGAGGTTGACGGTCTTGTCGTCATTAATGAGCTCGAGCGCTTGGAGATAGGAATTGCTGTGCCACTCTTCTGTGTGGCAGGCCTCGGAGCCACAACAGCCAAGGAAGGTAGGGCAGCGATGACCGTTGCGAGGGTGAAGCGCATGGTGAATGGGGGATTGTGCAAAAGGAAATGGATGAAGATAGCTGATGAGCAAGAGGAACTAGCCTGCCTGCCTTTATACTGTCCAACCATCCGGTAGAGACCAGTGGCTAAACTAGGTGGATGTGATGGTCTCGCTCACAATATGCATCGATCTATACTGTCACCGATCGGTACAGTACCCCACCTGCACGAGATTGAAATCGACATCGACTCGGTTGCCAGTTCAAATCCCGCATCCCGACCAGTGGCCATCTGTCCCAGGACCGTCTCCAGACTATGTCGCAGATAGGCGTCAGAATGTAGACCTCAGGAAAGGTACTTAATTGGCTGACCAGGTATGAATCGAGTGGCTTTGATCTCGTATTTTTTTCAAGAGCCTGAGTAAACGCCGCGGCGGTACGCCACTTTTCCTGCCAACATTCCTTTTTTCCCTCGATTTTAGCGACGAATGAGAATGAATAGGAACTATCAGATGCAGGAACCGAGGAACATATCCATCGAGAAGTCTGCTCCACGTTGAACCGAGCCTGCCACGTCAACTCCAAACCCAACAAGAACCTTTCTGGGCATATGGGGAGGCTTGAATGGACAGAACTGTAAGACTCTTGCGATTTTCTGTGTCAACGGGCAAGCAGTGGTGTTTATCGATGTCTTGAGAGAGGACTTGGACGAACGGGTTTTCTGGTCGAGGGCTGATGATATCCGGGTGGACGATGTGCACTACGAAGCAACGTGAAAAGGAAGCAGCGCCTGACGATGATCATACAGTAGATTCAATGGAGGTGAGAAAGGAAGACCCTTACACACGTTTCGAGACTGGCGGATTCTCCTTGTACCAGTGAGAAAACTGACAGCTCCTGCAGCTGCTTATCCAATTATCTACTGTAGTGGATAGACGTGAATCGACAATAATGTAGTATGTATATATAAATATAAACCGCCT